AAAAAAAAAAAAAAAAAAAAAGAATCTCCTGGGAAGTTGAAAATTGGGACTCAGGGGCCCTGAGAGGTGGGCTCTTGGGTGGGAAAATCACGAAAGGGAGACGGAGTGGTTTTGCTTGGCTCATGTGCTAGAGTAGGAAACTAGAACCTGCACCCAACATGGAGAGAGAAAGAGAAAGAGCAAGATCCAAAGAACATTCCAACAGCTTTCCTGCTTCTGGTTCCGGACCCTGGCGAGGGCTGAGCTTCCTGCTGAGTTGGGATAAATAGTACACACCCCCTCCAACTTCACGTCTACTATGATCCTATTTGGAAATAGGAACTTTGCAGATATAACGAGTTAAAATGAGGTTATACTCATTAGAGTGGGCCCTTAATCCAATGACTGGTGTCCTTGAAAGAAGAGGAGAGGACACACAGATATACCGAGGAGAAGGGCCACGTGATGATGGAAGCAGAGATTGGAGTGAGGCAGCGACAAGCCAAGGAACACCAAAGATGCACGGGCGCCACCAGGAGCTGGAAGCAGCAAGGAAGGAATCTCCTCCAGAGCCTTCGGAGGGAGCAGGGCCCTGCCGACACTTTGACTTCGAATTTCTGGCCTCTGGAACTGTGAGAGAACAATTTTCTGCTGTTGTAAGGCACTACGTTCGTGGGAATTTGTTACGGCAGCCCCAGGAAACGAATACAGTGCCCTAGGGTTCAGGAGTCTTGCCCTTCTGGTAATTGCCGGTTTTGTGCTTACATAAGATTGGATAGGTTTTTGTAACTTTCAACCAAACTATCCCTCGGAGGGCTATAAAATAAGAGAATTGAACCGGCCTGGTGGCTCTCAACCCTAGTTGCTCATCACCATCATGGGAGACGCTTTTAAAAATGACCAAGGCCATAGCCCCTGCTAATCGAATTGGAATTTCTACTGGGTGATGTCTGGACTTTGCAGTTTTTTCCCCCATTCTTTTATGGGTTTATGTTTGACATTTAACTTTCTGTGGCAACAGTTTTATTGAGATATAATTCACATACCAAACAATTCACCCGTGCACGTTGTTATTCGCAGAGTTATACAACCATCACCACGATCAATTCTAGAACATTTTAATCACCTCAAAAAGAAACCTTGTACCCATTAACTTTCACCCCCTTTGAACTAGGACTGTCTGCTCACTTGTATATTCCCATGGCCCCCACAGTGCCTGGCACCTAGGAAACGCTCGTTCAGGCAACGGTATCTGACAGTTCTACTATCATTGCACACGCTGTCGTTAGAACAAGGATGTGTTGGGCACTCCCACGCTTTGCCCTGTTACCTCACGGCATATTCACAGCAACCATGTGAGGGTGGCATTACTGGCTGCATTTTACAAACAAGGAATTTAAGGCTCAGAGAAATTGCGTTGTTCCGTGAAGGTCCTCTAGCTGGGAATCCTGGACTCAAACCCGGATCACCGGACTCTAAAGTGGTGCTTCTCAGACGGGGGGGAAATTTGCCCATCCCACCCCCACCCCCAGCCAGGGGATATTCGGCAACATCTGGAGACATTTTTGCTTGTCACACCTGGGAGGGAGGGGGATGCTACTCACACATAGTGGGTAGAGGCCAGGGATGCTGCTAAATCCTGCAACACACAGGACAGCCCCCCTTCCAACAGAGAACTCTCCATCCCCAAATGTTCCTAGTGTTGAGGCATTTGGAACAATGCCCTGTTCTAAAGTGCACTGTCCTGCACTTACAGCGCAATAATAGCTACACTTCCTGGAACCCGCTGTGTGCCAGGAGGTCTCTTTCCACTAACTTGTGAGCACCTTAGAGAAGAGAATCATTTTCTCTTCAACACTACATGCCCAGCGCCTTATCTGGCCTGTGCTGCTTCTTACCAAGACCAGTGCAAGGTTCTTGAGACAGAGTTGGGCTTGTTCGTTCAATCAACCTTCCCTTAGCACCTCCCAGGCCCTCATTCCTGCCCTCAAGGAGCATGAAGTCTAGAGAGGCACATGTATGAGTCAACAGGCAATTTTTGATAAGAGTAAGCTCCCTGGAGGGCACCAGCATCGATGAGCAGGGAAGGCTTTCTTGGGAAAAGGGGCCAAATAAGTTATGACCTGAAGGATGGGTAGAAATTTGTTCCATTAATGATAATAATAATAATAACAATACTTTTTTCAGCACTTCCCATAGGATGGGAACTGTGCTAAGCACTTGACATATTTTTCCCCTCGGTCAATCCCTCGACAGCCCTCTGGGGTAGATACCACTATTGTCCCAGTTTACAGATGAAGAAATCGAGATTGAGTGAAGTAACTTGCCCAAGGTCATGTCAGTAATAAGTGACAGATCTAGGTTTGACTCCAAAGTCAGAGCTTGTAACCACCATACTCTGTCCTCAAATCGGATAATAATAATGACAATTGCTAATATTTGCTGAATTTTCACTTTGGATCAGATATCAAGCTAAGCATATAGCTTGCATTGCCTCATTTATCACAATGAGATTTATACCCAGTGAGCTAGATACTGTTAATATTACCACCCCACTTTCAGAGGAGGAGAAATCGAGTCTCAGAGAGAGAAAGTGACTTGCCCAAGGTCCAGGAGGTGTCCAGAATTAGGACTTGAACGGGGTCTCTGACACGGAGTTGTGTTTGAATCGTGCGATCAGGGAGCACCACAACGCAAGAATGAGGCCAACCTAGGAGAAGGGATGAATTGGGGCTTCCAGACCTAAAGGGTACAGACGGGACGGCTGGGGGCTCTGAGCAGCTGCGTGATGGAGGTGGAGTCCCAAATGGTTACCTGGGGTGGCGACCAAGTTCTGCAGCTCCTGCTTCAGGTTCATGATGTCATTACAGAGCTGGATGTCATCCATCCTGGGGAAACAGGACACCGCATGACAGCAGGTTACGGTGACAGAACATTCCACACCCTGAGCACCACCCCGGTTTCAACAAAGAGGGTTTGTGGGTGGGGGTGGTCCTTTGTGTGAGCCACACGTGCTCTTTATATAAGTTTTCCCCCAAAAGAAAGCAAAAACTGCCCATGATCCCACTGCTTAGAAACGATCAATCCCTGTTAATAACACCTTGATGGAGCTCCTTCCAATCTTCACGTGCCTAGTGAGCTCACGTTGCAGGGTCAGTGCTTTCTTTTATCAGCTATGTTAAAAAAATTTTAAACATTACAGAAATTCACAATATGGAGAAAATCTGCCTCTGTCCTTTAGAGATAACCACTGTCAACAGTTTGGTATATATTCCTCCAGATTTTTAAAAAATGTTAAAAGGTAAATTTTTGTAAATGCTTATACTACCATATATGACATCATTGTTTTTTTTTATAATTTTATTTATTTATTTTTTACCCCAAAGCCCCAGTAGATAGTTGTTTGTGATAGCTGCACATCCTTCTAGTTGCTGTACGTGGGACGTGACCTCAGCATGGCCGGAGAAGCAGTGCGTCGGTGCCCGCCTGGGACCCAAACCCGGGCCGCCAGCAGTGGAGCGCACGCACCTAACCGCTAAGCCACGGGGCCGGCCCTATGACATCATTGTTAATGTACAAAAACATTTTGTGATTTTCCTTTTTTTTTCCTCAAAGATATATCTTGGGATCTTTCCATGTCAGGACACATAAAGCTCCTTATTTTTGATGGCTGCATAGTATTCCATTATACCAATATACAGTGATTTATTTATTTCCCTATTCATAGACATCTGGGTTATTTCCTAATACATCTCTAGGATAAATTACTAGAAATAAAGAAACTCCTAGAAAAATAAATTCCTAGAAAGACAATGGCTGGGTCAAGTGACATGAACACTTGCATGTTAATAGGAATTCCCAACTTGCTCTCCAAAGAGAAGAATTACGCATGATATTCCCACCAACAGTGTTAAAGGATGCTCATGCCTAAAATCTCAGCAATCAGATTGCATATACAATTTTCCATTATGCATTATAGTTTTGTGTGTGTGTGCTACAATATTAACTCATCTTACTGTAAACAACATTTGTAACGGCTGCCTGGAATTTCACCAAGGAGATTTATCAGGGCTGTTTTCACTATGCCCTTATCTTGGTTACTTAGGTGGGTTTTTCAGGTCGTTTGTGCTATTTTAGCCACTATACGATGAACATGGATTCATATAAGGCTTTTTCTTCCTGTTGGATTATTTGGGGTGCGGGCTATAGATTCTCAGAAGTGGAACCACTTAGTACAAAGGGCTTGACATGTATAGAGTCGTTGAGATATATTTCCAAATCGCTTCCCCACAGGGTGGGTGGGTGTGTCTTCATTCTGCACGTCTTTATGGAGTGTTTACTATGTCTGCAACTGCCATAGGATCCGGGGATGCACCAGCCTCCCCTGCCCTCATGAGCTGACATTTAGGCGGGGAGAACAGAAGGAGAACATAAATACAATACAATATGGGGTGCTGTGAAGAAGAGTAAAGCCAGAAAGGAGAAGGAGTAGTGGGCCAGTGTGGACGCATCATCCTCCTGTCCCAGGAAGAGACAGAGGGAAGCACTAACATCTCAAAGGGCTGACTGAGTCCACACAGTTAGAGGGGGCAGGACTGGGACTAGAAATCGACTCATCTGAGTCCACTGATCTTCCTGCCTCCTTCCACAGCCTCTTCATCAGGAACCTGGTCTGCCACCTCTGTTCATCCACAGACCAGCTTGGGGGCCCCCGCCCTTTGCTGGTTGAGAACTGCCCATATTACCCAGTCCAATCCCAGCATCCCAGCTGCCAGGACAAGCGGCAGGAACATCTCACTTCAGCTTGTGTTTCCTGTTGCCAGAGGCACGCCAGGCATTTGTCACCCCTGCCCTGGATTGTCCTAGCAGGTGGCAGCTGCCTTGAATGAGCCTGGGGGCTTGCCAGGAGGGCGCAGACTGTTCCCATGAGTTCCTGTTGGGGATCGTTCAACTGGAGGGGCTCCAGAATCCTTTTCCACGACTAGTGCGGAGGTCAGGCTACCTCGGTGGTTCTCACTGAGAATGATTTTTGTTCCTGGGGACATTTGGCCATGTCTGGAGACAGATTTGGTTATCACAACTGGGGGTGGTGGCTGCTCCTGGCACCTAGTGGGTAGAGGCCAGGGATGCTGTTAAACCTCCTGTAATGCACAGGAGAGCCCCCATCAATAGAGAATTATCTGGTCCAAAGTGTCAATCATGATGAAGCTGAGAAATCCTGGGTTATAGTGACAAAATTGACAGAGGTAACTTAGCGATAATTTTCGAAAGGTAAGAGAAGGAAAGATGGCAAAAGGAACAAAAGAGAGATAGGTAGAGGTTAGGAGCAGGCGTTTGGGCACCAAATAGCTCTAGTTCCCAGGGGCCGTGTGCCAGGATTCAACTTCTCTGAGTCTCTTTTCTTCATCTTTAAAATAGGCATGAGCATCGTACTTCCTAGGATTATTATGCATGTCAAGCGCCGAGCACGTGCCTGGGACATACATAGTAAAATGCTCAATAAATAGTTTCTACAATTATTTATCAGCTGTTAGAAAGAAGCTGGGAGACAAAGGGAAAGAGAAAATGACGCTAGATAAGCAGTTTATCTGACACATGGAGCTAACATGTACAACCTTTAAAAAAACCCTTTAATGATTGTATTCCCCTCTATAAAAGTTTAAATAACATTCTTATCTGATTGTAGAACAGATCCCTGGTCAGTGCAGAAATTTTGAAAAATGCAAACAAGTACAAAGAAGGAAGCTAAAATTATTCACGACCTGGACCCATGTGCACCCAGAGGCCACTGTTCCACTCCGAGTGTTTTGGTATTTTTACTGGTTACGCCAGTAACCCAGGTGTGATGGGTTTGTCTTGGAGACCTTAGCCCTCACCCTCTGTCCATCTCAAAACCTCTACTCAGCACGTCAGTTAGTCCGCCCAAACACATCCAGATCCACCAAACATTACCAAGTAAGGTGGAATTTGTCTGAATCTCTCACGGGGATTCATGCTGCAGAACTCCAATCCCTATTGGAAAGCACTGTTGTTTTCCTCAAGTTTCTCATGCTGACAGCTTCCCGCCTCTTCTCTCTCTCGATACCTCTTCCATGCACCTCCCGGCCAAAGGAGGACCCTCAGATCCCAAATAATTCAGCTCTGATCTTCAACATACAAACTCCAGGTGGCAAAACCAAACCCTGGTGGATCTCTGAATGTCCTTCCAAGAAAGAAGCTTGTTCCCCCATGCCAAGCAGTCTCTCAGAGTATTCACCTAGTAAGAGTCAGATCTTTTTCTGGAAGATGGAGGGATGGGTGCGGCCATTAAGGAAAACAAAAAGCCAATGTTCATTGAGCATTTCCTATGTGCCAGGCACTCAGCACTTTCCATGCAGAAACTCATCTAAATCCTCCCAGCAGTCCTGCGGGAGAGGATTTTATCTCTATTTCACAGAAGAGGAAATGGAAGTTAAGCAACACGCCCAAAGTCCCACAAGGGAAAGTGGCCGTTGGGACTCAGCCCAAGCTCTCACTCTTGACCACTTTACAGTGGTGTCTCCCCTCCATGTGGCTGCAGGAGTTTTGGCCGACATGGCTGGTTGCCCACTGAACTGACTTCCCCCCTCCCCCTTCCTTCCAGAGCGCCGGTCTGTTCAGGAGCCACTGTCTCCAGCCCCGACGGAAGCCAGCTGTCTTAGTCCCTCCAGGCTGCTAGAACAAAAATACCGTAGGCTGGGAGGCTTCAACAACAAACATTGATTTCTCACAGTTCTAAAGGGCTGGGAAGTCCCAGATGAAGATGCCAGCTGATGAGGACCTGGTGAGGACCCTCTTCCTGGTTTGCAGATGGACACCTTCCTGCCAGATCCTGACATGGTGGAGAAAGAGGTCATCTCTATCGTCTCTTTAAAAAGGGCACTAATCCCATTCATGGGGCTCCACCCTCATGACCTATCACCTCTCAAAGGCCCCACCTCCTAATCCGTCACACTGGGGATTAAGGTTTCAACGTATGAATTTGAGGGGGACACAAACATTTAGTCCATAGCACCAGCCATGGTGATCCCATCAGCCTTTGCTGGACACCCACTGTTTTCCTTGCAATCAGAGGTAGCCGTGGGACCCACTACAGGCCAGTGAGATGTAAGAGGAAGTCTGCTTGTGGGGGCTTCTGGGAAAGATGAGTAGAGTCCTGGGTGCTGCCCCCTCATAGTCCTGAAGCTGCTGCAGCCACTGTGGTGAGAATAGTATAGGGGAAGTGAGGAAAGAGCCAGACCCTTGGTGACATCCTTGAGCCACCCCCACTGACCCTCGGGCCACCTGTGTCTGGACTTCTTGTTAAGTAAATATTAAATGTCCTTTTGATTTAAGTAGTGACAGCTGACTTGATTTGCCTGGGACCGTCTCAGTTTTAGCACTGGAAGTCCCATGTCCTGGAAAAACCGGGACGGTTTGTCACCCTAGATTTAAGACACTATTGCTTGGATGTTCTGTTCCTTGCAGCTGAAGACATCTTCACTGAGACATGGATGTGGATATGTACATTTTCATTAAAAGCAGGATCAAAACGTACTCACGGATGCCCTGCACGTTGCGAACATTACATCGTGATGATTTTCCAATGCCATTAAATCATATCGTGCAAAAAACATTTCAGTAGTTCCTGCAAAGCACATTTGCAGCTTGGCTGGAACTTCGAAGGAGCCACATTAGTCTAGTTCTCCGCACAAACAGTGCTGAAGCCTGGAAATCAAACTGTGCTGCTGGTGGCTCGTTCCGGAGAGGGAGATGGCATCTCCAAGAACCCGATTAACGCAGGAAGGAAAAGAAAGCCTGCCCAGGTTGTTCTGCGTCTCAGCCTTTCACGCTGGGATGGTGGAGAAGATCCGTCATTTCACCAGCTTTG